TTACCAAACTCAGTCAGCAGGATGGCAGCAGTCAAGTCCAAGGGCCAATACCAAGCAACAACATGAAGTGAGCGAAAGCCACAAGACTGTTGGATTCCCCTGAGAAGTTCTCTAGAAGGTTTCCCTCTGCAAAGTCATGTGTAGAAGCCCAAAGATCAGTGCAGCAATCTCAGTCCAAAACGGATGACTCCCTATCCATAGGCCTCTACATATCTCCTCCCCAAGGAGTCCCCCCATGGATATTCTCAGCAACCCAAAGTTATACTCCTCACATGTGAGAGCTCACAGAAAAACATCACATGCCCTTGTGATCACAGGGCAATATACAACAAAATATCATATGCCAAGCTTGCAGCCAATTATCACATGACAAAATTCAGTCTTCAAGAAACAACAAATTTCCACTTAGTCTAACACTCTATCTCAGGACCATTCACAGAAATAACCTGTACACACTGCACAGTGGTAGACCTTGGCAGCTCAGTTTCCAAATGGGCATCCTAGTAAGGGGAACAGGGGCTGTCCCTGACATAATCTCAGTGGCTGGTCTTTGATCACCTCCCCCTGAGGGGGGAGCACCCTGAACAGGCCACAGAGGAAGGCTATGAAAGACAGTCCTGATAAGACCTGACAGGCTAGAGTCAGATGGAAGAGGAGGAGGTCGAATACAGTCAGTGGACTGGGGAAGGGGCATGGAAAAAGATGAGGGAGGGAAGGAAAAAGAGCCAGAATGGGAAGGTACAAGGGTCATGATCTGATGGGATACAAAGTGAATAAATTGTAATGATTAAAAAAATCATACTGAAAAGATTTTTAAAAAAGTAAAAAAGCTTAAAAATATATAAGAGAAGTCTAGCATAACTGTCATCTGAGCGGATTCATGCAAGAACTGATGGAAGCAGATAAAAAGACCCACATCCAAACAACAGGCATAGCCCATGGAGTCTGGGAAAAGATTGAAGGTTTCAGAGGGGTCAAGAACACCAAAAGGAAACCTACAGAGTAAACTAACCAGGGCCCATGAGAGTTCACAGAGATGAGCCATCAACCAAAGAACATGCATGGGCTGGACCTAGCCCTCCCAAACACATATATTTAGCAAATGTGCAACTTATTTTTCATTTTCCCTAACAATTGGAGCACAGTGCTTTTCCTGGTCTTGAAACCTGTCTTTGAATCTTTTTCCCATAGCTGGCTGCCTGTGTGGCCTCAGCAGGAGACCATGTGCTTAGTCCTAGTGGGTCTTGATGTGCCAGGGTCAGCTGGTATTCATGGGAAATATTCTCTTCTCTGATGAGGAGTGGAGGGGAAAACTTGGGATATGAGTGGTCCCTGGGAGTAGAGAATAAAAAGGACAAAAAGAGATTATAAAGTTAACTAATTACATAGTTAAATAAGTAATTACATAATTAAAAGTTAAAAAAGAAAAGAAAAAGAGAAATAAAAAATCAGAGGAGGTAAAGAAATCCCTTAAAGAAAGCCATGAAGCCAAAAATAAAAGAAAAAACCTCCCAAACCCAAAAAACAAAACAACCCAACAAAAACAAACTGTTGTAAAAACTCAATAAAACACTTGAAGAACTGAAGATGATAATAGATGCAATAAAATGAAAACAAACTGAAGGAACTCTGGAAATGGAAAATCTGAGTAAGTGAACAGGAAATATAGACACAAGCATTACCAACAAAATACAAGATAAGGACTAGAGAGCTCAGGTGTTGAAGATATTATAATAGAAAATTAAAATGTCAAATCCAAAAGAAATTTCCTGACTCGATTCATCCAGGATTTCTTGGACATTATCAAAAGAGCAAACTTAAAAATGATAGGACTAGAAGGAGCTGAGAATCCCAGCTCAAAGGCCCAGGAAATATTGTAAACAAAATCATATAAGAAAAGTCCCCTAACCCAAGGGAGATACAGATAAATATACAGGAAGCATGCAGAACACCAAATTAATTGGACCACAAATGAAAGTTCCCTTGCCACATGATAATCAAAACACTAGACATACAGAAAAAGAAAGAATATGAAAAGCTCCAAGGAAAAAAAGACCAAGTAACACATTCAAGGGTAGACCCAACTTCTCACTGGAGGCTCCAAAAGTAAGAAGGGCCTGGAGAGATAAAATAAGATATTTGAGATAACATGATTGACAAGGAAATTTCGTCCTGAGTGAAGTAACCCAGACCCAGAAAGACACACATGGTTGTGCTCACTTGTAAGGATATATGTTGGTATAATGGTCTTGTGGAATGTACACAATTACCCTTGTTCATTATAACACAGATTTCTCCATGCCAGCATGTGGTTTCAATGTAAACATTACATTGGGATGTTTATTCTAAGCATCACCTGTTCAAGTTTATGTAAATATGCTACCATTTGTTCTCTGTATTGGGAATAAAATTCTCTCCAATGCTGTGCAATGGAGAGAATAGGGTAGATCATCCGGGTCTGAGAAGAAGGAGAAAGAAGGAAGTGAGAGGAGTCTGAGAGGAGAAATCAGAAAGACAAAACTTGGAACCATAGGAGAAATGAACCCGGAATTAAGGTATGACAAACAGCAAGTATAATGTGGCAAATCTGAATGGGAGGAAACTATGTGGGTTTGGAGGTGTAAGATGGAGTAACTATTGCCTAGCATTGTGCTCTAGGTTAGTTAAATAAATCCTAGTCTCTGTATGGTGATTTGGGTATAGAGCCTGGTTAGGAATAACTATTGTATAGCTAAAACATAAACCAATATTAAAAAATTAATATTCAACAACATAATTATTACCCATAGAGTATATGATAACCATGCTACAATCCACAAGCCCAAAGAAGCCAAAGAGGACCCCAAAAAGGACACTTGAATCCCACTCAAAGAGGGAAAAAGAGACATCTGAAGTAGATGGAATGAAGGAAGTGGTGAAAAGGGGTGTGGAGATTTAGCAGGAATGGAGATCAGGGAAAGGGAGAGTGGGGAATGAGGGTGAAGGGAGAGGATGGACCTGTGCATAGGATGAAAATAGGTGAGGGCAGTAGACCTCTCTGTGACAGGGGAAGCTACCAGAAGGCTATAGGGTTGACCCTAACTAGATATATAGTAGTGCAGTGTATGGAGTCTTCACTGACAACTTCCTGAAGCCAGGTGGAACGACCTGTGGAGGGAGGGGGACACCAACTCACTCACAAAACCTTCTGTTTGAAATGTGTCTCCTGTATAAGAAGTGTAGGGCTTAAAGTGGAGTGGAGATTGAGGGAATGGCAAGCCAGTGTGCAGACCAACTTGAGACCCATCCCATGAGATATCCACCCACTGACACTGTGAATGAAACTCTGATGTGCTTGCAGATAGGAGCCTGTCTTCAGAAAGGCTTCATCCAGCAGCAAATGGAAACAGGTACAGAGACCTACAGTCAATTAATAGGCTATTTACAGGAGTTTTGTGGAAGAAGAGAGCAGGTTTGAGGGAGCCAGAAGGGATAAAGCTCATTTAAAAAAAGTCTTCTTTGCCTGTCCCTTCTCATATCATTACAGGTTCATGTATGTTTTTTCTTTTGTTCTGATCCATCAGTCATAGGTTCAGATCAATCTAATCCAGACATGTTTCAGCCTAAAGAACCCCTGTTGAGATGTGTTTGTTGCAAGCAACTAAGTTCAATCTCAGTTTCCAACTCATGGGACAACTCTCAAACCAGTAGGGAAACAAAGTAGATATGAGATAGAATAAACCAGAGTCCAGAGGTGTCCACCCGACCAGCATTCCACAGTTTTCCAGCTGTTTCAAATCTTAAGCCACAATGCTGTCCTTCCCCAGATTCACTGTAAATGCTGCAGCAATAAATAGTCTACCTGGGAGTTGCTGGTAACAACAGTGGCTGCTGCTCCAGGAACACAGGTGTAGGTGACAAGGAAGCAGGTGCTAGGATCTCTCTCTTCAGGCATTTGAGAGGGGATTCCAGGAAAGGCCTCTGTGCAGAACACAGGGCATGGAATGCTTCAGCCAGCAAGTGGGGATGGAAATCCACCATAGTCTTCCACCCCGATGTTTCAGAGACCTCAGATGCATGAATTGTAATGAAATCCAGTGCCTGCATTTTCAGCTGCTCTGCACTGTGGAGGTCAGCCAGGATGAGAGTGAGAGCAGCATTCTTCACTGAGAGGTCCCTTCAGAGGGCATCCTCACATATGACCTTCAAGAGCTTCAGGCCATACCTGTCAGCAGCTGCCAGCACACCAGTGGCCATGTTGTGGAGGTTTGGTACCTTCCCCTTGTAAATGAAGCCCATCATCTCCTTGAAGACTTGAGGCTCCAGGTCCTTGAGCTCAACTTGGTTCTATCCCCTGTTTTCCATGTCATGTTGAAACATGGCTCTGAAAACTGGAGAGTGAACTGCTAAGATGGCCTTGTGAGCCCAGAATTCCTGACCAGATACCAAGAGACAGCAGTCTGTGAAGAGGGAATTCTTCCACAGCTCTCCTAGCTCATCCATCAGAGTGCAGGTTGGAACCATGATTGCCGATGTCATGTTCTCTCCTGGAATGCTGCAAGAGCCTTGAACCATGTACACATTGCACAGGAGATTCAGGTGCTCCTCAGGGAGAAGGAGTTCTGCCTGGGACAACAGGAAATCTCTCAGGATAAACTTTTTGAATCTCCAGTTGCTACCTGGCAGAAACCTAAGGACAATTTGGCTCCACAGTCCTTGGCATGTCTCTCCTTTAGCATTTATGCTCCAAAAGTGGAACTTCATCCAAATGGGGCTTTTTGGACAGTGGAGCAACGCTAGATGAACTGACAGGTAATCTTTGCTATCTTCATCGCTCCCACTGGGGTGTACTCTCAAACACCATTGGAGTTTGTTATTGGCTCCTGATGAGAAAGTCACACTTTCAATGGCTTCCCTCATGCTCTCCAGCAAAAAGGAGAAGTTGCTGATGATCCACCTATAGGAAAATGTCTGGACGGTGATCTGGGTGGAGCAACAATTCTCAGCAGCCAGGTTGTCTGACATTTCTGCTGGAGGCAGTTTGAAGTTTCAACTTGGCCCCAAACAAAGAATCAAGATTGTTTTCCTTTTAATATGTAGGACACAATTACAGATACTGTAGAATCTTAGAATGTGCTCTCTGCTTTCTTCCCTAGTTGCTGAGACTGGAAACTTGGGTCTCTCTGTAATTTTCTACCCAGATTTCAGCATTAGTCTCAGAGAAGACAGTCCATCCAATCCCTTAGTGATTCTTACATCACTCCAATGACTTCTCTGTATAGAATCTTAGGTCAATTTGGTAACTACTTTTGGCTATTATACACAACTTTTGAAGTGTTTTCGACGTTCAGTACATTCTTCCTTCAAAACATGTTGTATTTGCCAGAGTCCTGTCGAGTAACAGTACCTACAGAATTAATGTGTATATATTTATGTATGTGTATATGCATGTATATACATACTTATATACATACTACAAAAAGGATTAAGGAGAATGACTTACCTGCTACTGTCAGGGTAATCCACTGATGGCTGGCTGTGCACAGAAAGTCCAAGAAGCCAGTGAGTTGTTCAGTCCAGTAGGCTAGATGTCTTGGCTTGTTCAATGTATGCTGGAATGCTGAAGAAGGAGGCTGCAATGCCAGTGAAGAGTTGGGATTGCCAACAAGATGAGGGCAAGCAGGGGAATGAACAAAGCTTTATTCTTCCATGTCCTCATCTAGGCTTGCAGGAGAAGGTGTGGCCCAGTTAAAGATGTGTCGCCCATGATCAAGACCCGGATTAAGGGTGTGTGTCTTCTTGTTTCCAGGATTGAATCAAATGTGTCTTTGGACCTCCAAGTCAGTATTCAAAGTGGATCTACCAACTTGAAGTTAATCAAAAATTTTCTTACAGGCTGATGCTCTAGTTTTGGGTATGAGTTAATTCCAGATATAATCAAGTTTTTAACAAGAGGAGACATCATGTGTATTTTATTACAGTCGTTAAACTGCCACAAGTGAAGGATTCATGGTATGTACTCACTTATAAGGGGGCATTAGCCATTTGGTAGAGGATAACCATACTCCAATCCACAGACCCAAAGAAGCCAAGGAGGGCCTAAGGTAGGATATTTCTTTTTTTTTTCAAAATGTTAATATTTAATAAATTTAGCATATATAAAGATAAATTGTGAATAATTAGCAAAGCTATATGGACATAAACAAAAACATTAGTTTTTCTTCATTTTTCTAAATTATAGAGAAATTATATTAAATCCTTATTAAAATTTAAACTTTAAGGACAAAGAGAAAACAGTATAACTGTGACCTCACTGACATAGACATGACATAATTTGTATTCATATAACCAGTATAATTTTGCTGTCTTTTAATATGCATTTAAATGTGAATATACATTCATGGCATGGTCTTAATTATAGCTGATATTAAGACAAATAAATCAGCTAGAGTTGATAATGAACTGAATTATTCTATATCAAGAGTTTCACATTAATCATGACTTTGACAATGACTCCTGGTGTAGAACTATAAACCTAAGCTGTACTATAGAGGAACAGTTATAAAAACTGCATGGTACTGGCATAGAAACAGAATGGTGGATCAATGGAATCGAACAGAAGACCCAGAAATAAACCCACACACTTACGGACACCTGATTTATGACAAAGATGCCAAAACCATACAATGGAAAAAAGATAGCATCTTCAACAAATGGTGCTGGTCCAACTGGATGTCTGCATGTAGAAAAATGAAAATAGATCCATACTTATCACCCTGCACAAAACTGAAGTCCAAGTGGATCAAAGACCTCAACATAAAACCAGACACATTAAAGCGGCTAGAAAAAAAGTGGGGAATACCCTAGAACTCATTGGTACAGGAGAAAACTTCCTGAACAGAACACCAACAGCACAGGGTCTAAGAGCAACAATCAATAAGTGGGACCTCATGAAATTGAAAAGCTTCTGTAAAGCAAAGGACACTGTCATCAAAACAAAGCGACTGCCTACAGATTGGGAAAGAATCATCACCAACCCTTTATCTGACAGAGGACTCATATCCAGTATATATAAAGAACTAAACAAGCTGAAAAGCAATAAACCAAGTAATCCACTTAAAAAATGAGGAACAGAGCTAAAGAGAGAATTCTCTGTAGAGGAATATCGAATGGCAGAGAAGCACTTAAAGAAATGCTCAACCTCATTAGCCATTAGGGAAATGCAAATCAAAACAACCCTGAGATTTCACCTTACACCCACGGGAATGGCCAAGATGAAAAACTCAAGTGACAACACATGCTAGAGAGGTTGTGGAGAAAGGGGAACCCTTCTCCACTGCTGGTGGGAATGTAAACTGGTACAACCACTCTGGAAATCAATCTGGCACTTTCTCAGACAACTAGGAATAGCGCTACCTCAAGATCCAGCCATACCACTCCTAGGCATATACCCAAAAGAGGCACAAGTACACAAAAAGGACATTTGCTCAACCATGTTTGTAGCAGCTTTATTTGTAATAGCCAGAAGCTGGAAACAACCCAGATGCCCCTCAACTGAAGAATGGATGCAGAAACTGTGGTACATCTATACAATGGAGTATTACTTAGCAATGAAAAATAAGGAAATCATGAAATTTGCAGGTAAATGGTGGGACCTGGAAAGGATCATCCTGAGTGAGTTTTTTCAGAAGCAAAAAGACACGCATGGTATATACTCACTCATATAAACATACAATATAGAATACACACACTAAAATCTGTACATCTAAACAAACTAAGCAAAAGAGAGGACCCTAACTAAAATGTTCAATCCCCATCCTGAAAGGCAAAGAGGATGGACATCAGAAGAAAAAGAAAATAGGAAACAACCTCGGAACCTGCTACAAAGGGCCTCTGAAAGCCAGAAGAAAAGAGGAAACAACCTTGAAACCTTCCACAGAGGGCCTCTGAAAGCCTCTGCAGTATAGACTGTCAAAGCAGATGCTGAGCCTGATGGCCAACTGATGGGCAGAGTGAATGGAATTTTATGTAAGAAGTGGGAAATAGTAAGAGCTGGAGGGGATGGGAACTCCACAAGGAGAGCAACAGAACAAGATAATTTGAACAAAGGGAACTTCCCAGAGACCCATACTTCAACCAAGGACTATTCGTGGAGATGACCTGGAACCCCTGCACAGGTGTAGCCCATGTCAGTTCAGTGTCCACGAGGGTTACATACTAATGGCAAGAGGGACTGCCTCTGACATAATCTGATTGGCCTGCTCATTGATCACTTCCCCTTGAGGGGGGAGCAGCCTTATCAGGCCACAGTAGAGGACAATGCAGCCACTTTTGATGAGAACTGATAGACTAAGATCAGAAAGAAGAGGAGAACCTCCCCTATTAGTGGACTTGGGGAGTGGCATGCATGCAGAAAGGGGAGGGAGGGTGGAATTGGGAGGGGAGGAGGGAGGGGCTTATGGGAGGATATAAAATGAATAAAGTGTAATTAATAAAAAATTAAAAAAAAGAATATTTCTCCAATTGTTTGGTTAATTAAAAAAAAACTGAGGCTGGGGAATATAAGGTAGGATATTTCAATCTCACTTAGAACAAAAATAAAATGGAAACTGAAGGAGGTGGAAGGAGAGAGTAGGTGGGAGAGTGGTTTGGGAGGGAAACAATAGTGGGATCATGTGGGGGGGTACAGGTTGTGGGCTAAAAAGAAAGGACCTTGAGGAAGAAGAAAAATTGCTAAGATGGGGCATCTCTGAGAGATGGTTGGCTCCCAGGAGTCTATGGGGGATAACCCTAGCTGAGATTCCTTGAAGCTAGGGATATGGAAACTCGCTGTATCCATGGGGAATGCTCAGTGGAGGGAGGGAGACACCCACTCACTCATAAAAGCTGCAATCTAAAATGTGTCTCACCAACAAGAAGTGAAGGGATTCAAGTGGAGTGGAGATTGAGGGAATGCCTAGCTGATGAGCAGACCAACTTGAGACCCATCCCATGAGAGAGAGCCACCCGCTGATACTGTTATTAAAACATAGATGTGCTTGCAGACAGAAGCCTACCATAAATATTTTCTGAAAGGCTGCATCCAGTAGGAGATGGAAACAAATGCAGAGACCAACAGGCAAATAAGAGGCCAATATCCAGGAGTGTTGTGGAAGAGTGGGAGGAAGGTTTGAGGGAGCCAAGGGGTGAAGGACAGCACAAGAAGGCTTAGGAAATCAACTAACCTGGGCATATGGGTGCTCACAGAGACTGTACCACCAAGCAAAAAAACATGTATGGGCTGGACCCAGACCCCCAACACACATGTAGCAGATAGGCAGCTTGGTCATCATAGGAATTCCCTAACAATGAAAGTATAGGTTCTTTGTTGCCTGCCTTTGGATCACTTTCTTCTAACTGGACTGCTTAGACTAGCCTCAATATGAGATGTGCCCAGTCCTACTTCACATTTCAAGGCTGGTTAATATGCATGGGAGGTCTACCCTTTACTGGGAATAAAGTGAGTGGGGAAGAAAGAGAGGGGGAAGTAGAGGTAAAGGCTTAAATTGGAGGAGCTAGTGTAAGTTCACATCCTGATGCAAAGACAATTAATTAAGTAAGTAAGTAAGAAATAAAGGAAGTAAAAGTGAGTTGCAACAGTAGACACTGGGGACTAAGAAAGAGGAGAAAGTGTTTTAATAGGGCGAGGGCAATGAGGAATCTGCACAAACACCCACAGCTGAGCAGAGCTGGATACACTAAACTTCACTTCCTTAAACATAAAAACCAGAGAAACTCACAACTGACTTCATCATTTTTATTAGTTTTATATTTTATTTCTAAGGGTTGGTATACAGAGATGTATGTGCTGCTGGAGGCAAGAAAGTGCCACAGAGCTGGTGTATGTCCAGGTACAGATGGATGAAACCTCTTCTGTGTTTGCTGGAAATCACCCAGGTGTTCTCTGCAAGAGCAACAGTTGCTCTTCCCAACTGAGTTATCACCCTTCTCCTTACAAACTGAGCTTAAAAAAAGTCTTCTTTGCCTGTCCC